AAGTATATTCCACATTTTTCTGCGGACCAGCGAAATTTTCTCGCGGACCACCACTTTGGCAACCGCTGGTCTAGAACATACAGATATATTGAATTTTTGGGATTGATATAATTAAATATTCTAGTTGTATTTAAACAATATTCTTGAATACATTTCGTTGAAAATTAATAAAAAAAAATTTAAAATCGCATAAAGCGATACTATGCTGTTCAAACTAATTGTTTATGAAAGTATTCAAATTCAATTCGTTCGTTTATATTCAATAGAATATAAACAAAACTTGATATATATAATCTTTATAATTGATCCTATTTTTAGATATAATAATTATTGAAATTTATTACAAATGTTTGCAATTGACAAGATTTAACTGCAAGATATTTCAGCTGCATTTTATTAACACACTTGATAAGACAGTTTACTCTAGCAAAACATGTCTGTTTTAAATGAGACTCATTTTATGGTGCCATATTGGGAAAAGGGGCTTGAGTTGAATTGTTCCTATGCTGTGAAATATTTTAAAGTTTATATCTTTCTCGTATTAAAGAGCAGTAGCTCTCAATTATCCTCACACTAATGTCAAAAGTTAAATAAATCTAATAACAATAAATTCCGAAGTAATAAAAAACAACAACAATTAATAAAAATAAAGGAATTATTAATTGAAAACGTTTATACCAATGAAGGCTTCTGCGCATATTATAAATATTGTATGATAAAGTTTAAATCAAAGTTTTGTTTTGAGTTGGCGCGAAAGCAACGTAGTTTTAGTTTAGGCAACCAATGACGCCCCGGTGTTCAAGGACGCCGGGGAGACGTCTGATGTCAACTCTACCGGAATAAATGCTTGTCTTTTATTTTTATTGTGCGATTAGCGTGTTGAATACTTACCACAGTGATGTTGCCTTCGATGTCCAGCTTCTTGGCGGCCTTGGTTGTGAGGTCCTGAAGGGTGGTGGCCACGACGCCCTTAAGCGGTTCCCTGGAGACGGTGGTCACCTTGAAGGGATGTCCCGTGTTGCCCGTCTCGTTGTTAGCCTCTTCCATCTCTCCTCGGTCGCCGCCTTCGAATGCCGGCGCTTCCCGTCGCGACAGCCGACTTTATATGCGCAGAGAGACGAAGAGCGAGAGACACGGCCAACACTACCTATCTCTCTTCCACAGGGCAGACAATATCGATCCATTTCGCTCCCCCCAAAACACACACCAACACATATGATTCCCCATATTTACCCCTACCTCAAGCATTCAACTCCACCACCCGCTAAGCATTTTTTTCGCAGAACTCCCCACTCCCATAATTTTTTTTTGCAATTAAAAAATAAGCCTCAGGTTTTCAGCACTCGTTGCGACTACTCCTAAGCCATTCACTATATTTTTCTGCAAAAGCAAAGTGAAAAGAAAGGAGCCTCAATTGCTAATTCAAGAAGCCCTAATTGCATTAGAAAATCTCTCCACGGGGAATTAGCCGTGGTTCTTTTATTGGATTCGGGATAATATAGGATATAATATCGATACGACTTTGGGATTTCGAATCTTATCTTTATTTATATTCAAAATTAAACTAGGGAGAAAAACTATAATAAAGAAAAGCCACACAACATGATAATTAAATGCAACTCGTTGTCGTCAAGTTGAAGAATGAAAAGCTTCTAATGTGTACATTTCGATTTAAGTTTCTATTTCTCGGAGTAGACGATGTCGTAGACGCTCCTCGGTAGGTGATCGGCGACGAAAGCTTGGATCTTCTCCTGCCTGGTTACCGGGGTGTACTTGGGCAATGGGAAAGTCCTGACCACCGAATCGCTGAGGGCTCGCAACACCGAAGACATATCGGCATCCTGCAAGCACGGTATATTCATTAAAACAAGTTGTACGTTATCCAATTAATTCATGTAGCCAAGTGTAATTTGCTTAATAAATTTATGCGAGTTGGCGGCGCATTAGTACATTCGTATTTATTAGTACGTCACCTGGGCTTTCGTGAATTTCTCCAAACTTCTGACAGCCGTTTCGAAGTAGTCTTCGCCATATGTGGACCTTTGTTCTTGGCTGAGCTGCGACCACATTTCGATAGCTTGTTCGCGCATGTCCTCATCGGTCAGCCAGGTGCTGCCTGAAGTGAATTCACCTGGGGCCACGACGACGACGTCAACACCTCTGGTTCTGAGCTCTTGTCTGAGGCATGAAGCCTGCGCTTCGACGGCAGCCAGGAGGGCGCAGTGTACACCCCTCACAGCACTGGCTACCCTGCATAAGCCCGAGGTCATGAAAACAATCCTTCCATGTGCTCTCCTGACCAGAGGCAACATCACTTGGTTAACGCGAGTCGCCCCCAAAAGGTTGATGTTTGTTGATTTTTTTATAACCTGAAAACAATATTTACATATAATTTTTTATTATATATTTTCACAGTTGATTTTTAAAAGTTTATAAATGAAAGTCATGTGCAGTTGATCTTTTTGTGTGTTGGAACATGGGCATTTTAGGCATATTTTGCTTTTTTATCACCAAAAAATCATAGCTGGTGATGAAAAATTACAACAATGTTGAACGCAGAAAAGATAAGATGGGCTAAAGCATTTCGAAAACCGAGTTTTAGACTTCTACTATATAATTTCATAATTAATTCAAGAAATGTACTAAAGAAATGTGCAGCCTCCAAATTGAGTGATTGCCTTAAATTGAAGAGGCCAGAATTTTGTTTCACCATGATTTCACGAATTATTTCAAGTTTTATGATTTGCCAAAAGCTATTACAGCTTCTACCATTTTCTCCAAATCTGCCACACTCCGATAATTACTTATTCGGATCTTTAATATGTAGACAGCAAAAACAATAAGTTCAAATGAGTCAAAAATCACTTTGTTCAGCAAGCAATGATTGCTCTATTAGCGTGGAATCATACCGTTACCAGAAAGATGGTATATATAAGGTAAAGTGAAAATAAATGTCATTTTTGTTATCTTTCAGTTATCATGTCGTTTTTGGTATCGGTTAAATTTTATGAAAACATCTTGAATCCTCGAATGTACTATAAATGGTTTCAAAGATAATGACACTTTAAACTCATTGGTGGAGTCCGATCCGCGTAATACAATTTAGGTATTGTCATAAGAGCTTGCTGGTCCAAGTGAAAGTGTAAAGTCTTGGAAAAAACATAGAGAAGAAATTTGGGTGTCGCAGGTATTTGCAGAAAGTATTAAAACAGCGAATACTCATCTGTTCACCTCTGAAAACCATTGAAAAATATTTTGGGAGTTGCAGAAAATCAGAATTTTACGAAAGAGGTATTAAAGAAATGCTTATTCTGTAGAGGAAAATCATAGTTATTAAACAGAAAATATATAACAAAATAATATTGTACAGTTTTTATTTAAATAATTATTTTATCGCATTGAAAAAAATGTCAATTTCCGCTTTAGCTTATGAAAAAAAAACTAAATAACTTTCAGAACAACGTTATATGTAGTTCTATAACTATATTGATTAATTAAAAACTATGAACAATGCTATTGAAAAACGTATTTTACTTCAAGTTATGTGAATACATCATACATTAAAAATATAAATAAACAATTAAAACGATTTCAACAAACGAAGTGAAATTTGTCTTAATTGTAGATGCATTTGTTGTAATACCAAGTGTAGCTGTAAACTCGACAAACAAAATAAAACGAATGTGAACACCAGCACGGAAGGTGATAAAATTGTTTAAACGAAATATATATATTTATTATTCGAAATAGTAAATATTTATATATTTTTATTGAGTAATAAATTTGATTGTTACGTGATATATGTAAATAACGATACAAATTTCATTATTAATAAACAAAAGTTATTTCAAATTATATTAAAAATTCTATTACATATTTGAAAAATAACACTTTTCTCCTTTATAATATAATAACTTATTACGAAATTAGTTTGGTCCTTGGCCATTTCCTAATCAATAATAATTCGTAAATATTTTTTATTTATTATTTTTATAATGTTTAGCTTGAAAATAATATAATTTATAGACATTCTACTACTATATTCATAGAATGAAATGTTTACTATTTAGTCATATGTGCGAGCATAATTTATAAGCCCTTTAATATAATCTTAGTTTTATATTTTATATACTATAAATATGTGTTTCGAATTAAAATTCCAATAAAATATTGTATAAAAATTAATTCTCTTACGAATTGTAATTTAAATGATAATTATTTATTTCTTTCAGTAAAATTAACTGATTATATTAACAGACACATTGTACAAGAGCTAATATTTATAGCATTCTCTAAACTTATGATTTATATGAGCATATTTCAATTTGTAAACAGAAAATTAAATTTTAACTTTGCGATATTGTAGTAAAATTAATTTCGCTGGCATTGAAAGCACGTAATTTTTAAAAGGAAATTCATATTGTGCCACAGGATGCCGACTCTAAAAGGTTACCGTTTTACATTTCCTTCTGTAATATTTTTGAGGCAGATTTTCTTATTTCTGGATAAAAGCATATTATATTATGAAAAATTGGTTTATACATGATTATATAATATAGTTAATTATTAGATTTTTAGAACTTTTAAATATAAAAAAATTATAGCAATCAATGCAAATGTTTTTAATATATTTTTGCTATACAATTGCATGTTCAAATCAAATTGATAAAAGCAAATTATTTAGTAATGTATGTTGCGATGTGCTCTTCATTTAATTTGCGCAATATTCGTATCTTCCGAATACACAAATGCAATAAATAAATGACAATTTGCATGTGTGAAATATTCGCGCCGGCTCGACTTTTATCTAGGAATATAGTGGATTTCTTTGGGGCTATCACGAACGTAGAGGGAATGTCGTATGAATGATAGATATTTTGAAAGTCGAATCACGGAATATTTGCGCCAGTCCGGATTGAAAGCCCGAGGGCGGCCTCTGACGATTTACCACGCTGTGCTTTGTTGGATTTCTTGATTCGAGCGGATTTTATGTACGCAGATACGATTAAATCCTTGCAGCTGCAACGATTCAAGAAACCAAAAAATGAGGAGTTATGTGAGACATAATTATGGAATGTGTGGAAGAAATGCTTTTACTGAGTTTATTTTCGCAATGTCGCTATATTTTTAATGATAAAAATTGCAGACTCAGTGCTTGAAAGATATTATAAAACACAGCTTACGCTACAGTTGGATGTTTAAGCACATGATGATGTTGGTACACGTCAAAGGTTTTACTATATCGGATGGGGCCTACTCGTGATCTTCACTGCGAGCGGCTCTTCAGTTAATAGTATGTAGAATGTAGAATGTTCAGAGCTGTACAAAGAGGAATTGGAATTCCGCTGCATAATATACATTTTCATTATTCTTAACTTATTCTTAGATATTCTAACAGTTGTTGAACTGTATATTTTATGAACGCATTTAGACCATGTATTTTTACCTTACTCGCTACTATTTTGTACAATTGATGCAATTCATTGTCTTTTCAGTAAATTTTGGTTACCAAATTTACCATTGATTTTCAAGTCATCATCGAGACTTGACTTGGCTTTGGAGATGAGAGCATAATATCAAACTTTCTTTCTCAGGACGTCTATTTAGGATTGCATTACAAATAACTCATGTTTCAATTCAAATAAAGTGGGCCAAATCCTAGAAGTACTGCAATACTAGGCTAACCCTTGACAAAGACGCAGCAAGCTCCAGTCCTCATCCGATTCCAAAAATCAGATTAATATACTGGACCCGCATGCGGGCCGTATCAGATATTAAGCTGATAAGAACAGATACTACACTTTGATCAGAGCTCAATGAGCCATGAAGCGATAACTAAGAGGGGTACAAATTCCATTTTGACCATCAGGAATGTACCATTCTTCCGCAGAAAGTTTGCAAAGTGCCATCTATTGGCAAATGATTTTGCGAGGACCTTGTTATTATAATTGACTCGATAAGTTAATAGAGTTCAACTTATATTTTGATATCTTTTGTTTTATGTATCAATGATCTTTTGGATTACCATAAATATCAATTCATGATTAAATGAATAACACACAACTTTATTTTAAAAAAAATCTATTTTCTTTTATATAAGTAAAAATACTTGTTAAAGGATTAAATTTGATTAGGTTACAATAATTAATTTTAATGAACAAGAGAGATGTGCAAATAAAAATAGTCGTAGTAATATTTTGTATCAATGATCATAAAGTTATACATATTTAAGTGGTCCAATATAATGTATATAATAATAATGTTTAATTCATTAATGAAGTTTAGTTAGCATTAATTAAAGTTTCCAATTGTTTAAATATTTCATCATGTACGTGAATGAACGTATATTGCTCAATATTTAGTTAAAACATCGACGAACGAAAACGGTAAATAAATATTATAGCATAATTAAAATGCGAATGTAATATTTAAGGCCGTTTACAAAGCGCGTTTATTATTACATTTTGCACAGTTAATTAAATTAATTTAAATTGTTTAATTTAAAAAGAATAATATTATATTTCTTGTTTGATTTCATTCTGCTTGATTTCTCCAACGTATTCACAACATCTATACAAAATAAATGTATAATATATATTGTTGGATAAATTAATATAATTTAAATTTAATATAAAAAAGTTTGTAAAAAAAAAATAATTTGACAATAAGAATTGACAAGACTTGTTTTGTATTACATTATTTAATAATAAATATCATATGTGAAACAAATTGTTTGGAAAAGAAAATTATGTAATTTTTTATATGGAATACGAAATCGTCTGAAATGGTAGGGTCTCATCCTGGAGTAACCGTCTTAAATATCACGGTTAAAACTTTACGCCAGGTAAGTATGCTTTTTTTCCTTCAAATTATAAACCATTCATCCCAAACGCATGTGCAACTAATTTGCAACGAACTGAGTGATTATAATTCTGTATCAAATTATAATCACATGCCATTACAATTTAGTAATACAAATTCAACAAAGTATCATTGTATTTAGTTATTATTTAAATAATATTGGAAAATTACTATTAAGTATAATTATAATAATCTCGTAGATTATTGAAGTTACATATGCATGAAATGTCTGTTGTTGTAGATGGGATGGAATTCTGGACACAGTGGAATATTGTCTGGTGTTGTCGTTGTGGAGTCTCAGTTGTAGGAATTAAATAATTATTTTGGTTTTACATAACTTTATTCGTTAGTTGGTCTTCTGCTGAGACTATGCTCGTCTTAGGTTTTTATGAGGCTATGCTTGTCCTCAAAAGTTCTTCTGAGGCTTTATTAGTCTTTAAATGTTTTACTGAGACTCTATCAGTCTTTGAAGGTTTTAGTGAGACTAATTCTAAATACTTATTCTACT